CCCGCATGCCTTTCTTCAAGAACTCAGAGCAACCCATGAATGTCAAACAAAGACTTGGGGGGCCTTTTCTTGCATATCCAAAAGTTCAAATATGAAAGAATCGAGGTCATGGGCAAAGACGAAAAAAATAATGACTTTATTTATGCATCATGGATTGCAGTCGAGAGAGCTTTACACCAAGTTTGCTAGGTGACCTACCCTTATCGTGCAAGAAATGCTCCATTGAGTTCATGACTATGCAAAAATTGAGGAAGCTAATAGGTCGAAGAGAGATTTGGAAAGAGCACATGATGACACGTGAAAGAAAGACCAATCGCAAAAGGGGAAAAGTGATACCAATGGTAGCAAAAGTTTGGATTTGACTGATTGGGGAAGGGAAAAAAGTTGCAGGACAATGATCTTACCTTTCTCACAACTAGCAGGTTGCAGATCTTAGCATCGAGAATGAAGGAATTCTCAGAAAACCTAATCATATAATAGGACCTATAGAAAAGTTCAATAAGAGCTTGTATTGTGCTTTTTATAGGGATATGACCTATCTTACTAATGATTGCAACAATCTCAAGAGGGAGATTAAATTTCAAATCAAATAGGGAAATTTGAAGCAATTTGTACAACAAGCTAGGGATGCAAGCTACCAAAGAGATTATCGTGTAGGTTGTGGATGATATCGACTTGATCAAGTAGGATACCACACCAGTTGTGAAGGACAATATGGACTTGATAACCAAGTCCAGTAGATAGATGATGTGGCTAACTTGGCAAGTGTAATAAAAAAAATCTCTTGGGGCTTGCCCACCATTCTACAAGATCATTGCCCACAACTGCAGAAGTTCCTACTGATGGAGACAGTGCTTTGGCTCTAAGTGCATCTCTTTGCAGTTAGGCAGTCCGAGAGCTTGGAGAGTAGATGAGGCTTACGATGTGTGAGGAGATCATTTTCAAACCCCAAAGATCCCATCCCAATGTTACTAAAACGCCATAAAGCCTTAGTCATTCACATGCTCACAACAATTACAGAGTAAATAAAGTACTCATTGATTGTGAAAGCTTGGTAGATATACTATTTTCAAAGGCATTTTAGGAACTCTGTCCAAGCAAGTTAGCTCATCCTAGTATGAACTCTATTCATTGGGTTCAATAGAGAATTAGTTCAAGCAAAAGAAAGCCATATCCATGCAAGGTACAATGGGTTAGGCCCCTAGAAGTTTGATAGTACCCATAACATTCGTGTTGGTGAACATACCTTCTACCTACAATGATATTATGGAAAGATTGACCCTAAATGCAGTATGAGCTGCGATCCCTATTTCTGTTGAAACTGCAGTGGTAAATAGAAACATGATAATAGTTTGACAATTTTATTTTGCTAATTTGAAAGAAAAATAGCAGCTACGATAGAGATATTAGTAGTTGAAAAGCTTGAGTCTCAAGAAATGGACTCGAAGAAGCTGAGCTTCGAGAAGGAGGTCAAGGAAAAAGTCTTGTGGCCAAAAAATCAAACAAAACAGTGAGACTAGGCAATAGCCTACCTGATGAGGTAAAAACTATTTATATCAGCTTTTGATTAAGTACAGAGATGTATGTTCTTGGACTGCAAAGGATATAAAAAGAATTTTGAGAGAAAATAATGATTCACAAGCTCAATGTGGATAAAAATCTCAAACCAATCAAACAAAAGAAAAGAGATTTTGGACCTGAGGGAGAGGTCATCAACAGGGGGTTGATAAGCTTCTTGATGCCGATATCATCAAAGAAGTACTATATCCAACCTGGTTCACTAGCATAGTATTAGTGAAAAAGCTAGATGCCACCTTGAAGATGCACGTTCACTTCATAGATCTCAACAAAGTAAGTCATAAAGACTTCTGTCCTCTACCTAGAATTGATAGCCTAGTGGACTTGCCATTAGGGTTCGAAGTCTTTGTTTTTCTTAATGTGTACAAAGGATACCATCAAATTGGAAAAAAAAAAAAACATGCAGAATACTCAATTACTTATACTCATGACATAAAAAAATGAAATACACTAAAATTTTTCATTTTTGGGGTTCAGTTTTTTTTCTACATTATAATGACTATTCTATTTAAAAATCCTTTTTATATTTGTTATGTGTCCTTTTTCAATACTACCTATAAAATAACTATTTGAAGAATTCTCTTCATAATTTTGAGAAACTCAAAAATTTATAACTTAGCATTCTGCTTTTTGTTTTTTTTTTACTAACTTTGTCTTATATGTATGAAATTTTGCCGTTTTTATGCAATCTCCATAATTGAACCTTCACTAGATTTTTGTTACCAAGTTTTTGACTTTTAATGTATTAGTCAACTTACCTTATTTTAGTATTTATCCTCCTTTTGGTTGACCTCTTAGGTTTAGTACTGTTTTATATATATTTTGTTGAATATAGATAGTACTTAGTTTTAATTTAGACTCAAAAGAAGGATAAAATTACTATTAGTAATGGTTTTAGTTTCCTCATATTTGTCTTCAAACTCAATTTAGTTTGTATTCTATATTAGAACTTCACGAGAAAGATCTTTATTCAAATAAAAAAATTTTACGGTTGAATCTTGTAAATAAAGGTAGTATTCTTTTTAACTCCATAATTGATAATTAACAATATTTCTATGTAAACTATTTTATCTTACCAAGATATCAATGACACTGAGAACTTTTGATTTCACTGATATCAATTCTTCTTGCATCAACTGGATAGCAATAGTCCAAGTGATTGAATCAGCACACATCCTCACCTCAAATAGATCACTAAATGCCAGAAGATATCGACGTTTTTTGCTTTCAAATCCACATATACATATATAGAACTAAGTAAAATCAGTTTATTTGATCATTTCTTATATACATATCTTTTTTCTCCATAATCTTTCCTATTATTACACATTTATAGGGAATCAAAATGCAATCAATTATTAGTGATGATAACATTCCACTTGTTGACCACCTCTTGCTTCCATTTAAAAATTATGCCATTTCAAAATGCCTCAATTTGCCTAAATCAACAAGCATCTTTAGCAGGAGATTATCTATTTTACTGGATTCTCACTCCTACAACTCGCATCCAAGAAATCCCAGAATTTGAAAATATAAAGATTCCACCTTACTTTCCTTAGACAAATATACTACTACCCAAAACCATGTGGATACTAGTAGATACATGAGTATTTAATCCATAAACTCAATTTTCATACATTCATATTCTCCCTATACTCCTACTATATCAAGAAACTTAAAATCATTGTCTTGTTATTTTAGATATAATGGGTATAGTAATCGGCACTCTTTCAACAAGAGAAATTCAAGTGGAGCAACAAAGACTTCAATCAAGAGATTAAATAATTGTTAATCAAGAGTAAGAGACATTCAATATTGCTTAAAAAAAATAGAAAAATAAGAAGGGTGAATATACTAATATAATCTCTATTTGCTAACTATCCTACTAATTTCTTATTTAGGAAAATAACTATTATTATTCACTTTACAAAATGAATTTCAGATTATTGAAGGAATTCAAATCACATCAACAACAGAGCCATCAGTTATCTTCGCTATAAGAATGAGAGCTACAGCAAAAGAAAAAGTGTAGTTCCTTTTTAGTTTTTCTTTTACACACTATTTAACTACATAATATTAGTTTATATTAGTTTATGTATTTCTATCTTCCTATTCTTCAATATGCAGATCTTACGGGGGGAGGGTTGGGTTGGGTGGTACGGGGGGAGGGAGTGTAAGCAAGAGGTCTCGGGTTCGAGTCCTCCCGCTTACACAAAAAAAAAAAAAAATATGCAGATCTTACTTTGGTAACACAGCCCTCATTCGTCATCATAATATAGTCTAAAGTTCATGAAGCAATGGAACTCACTCATTTGTATTTACATGGTCAAATTCATTCTTTGTATTACATATATAGAAGTATGCTTACTTTTCATCAATATAAAAGACACTGAATAATTTTAAGCATAAAAATTATTACAAGTTGTACAATAATATACCCACTTTTTCTTTGGTATTTAAGTTCATGTTTAGCTATAGTACATGTTTGGATTTTGTTTTCATATTTTGCTAAAGTTTATGCCTAGAATTATGAATGAACTTTCTATATTTTGTTAGTAACATTTACTTGGTTATTTGATAATATTAATTTGAGCAAGTTATTTTCCACTTTTGCTTTTTTAATCATGATTAACCAGCCATTAATTGTGATAATCTTAAGGTGTTAAGTTTGTAATGAAAATTGAGATTTAACATTAATTCAAAAAAGTGATAAATATAGGGAGTATACTCATGAGAGTAGAGATGCACCTTTGTGATTTTTTTTCCAATTCCAATAGATGCAAAATGACTTATGAGGATTTCAGTTTGGCCAACCTCTACTTGAAATAACAATAGCAAATACTCTAAAGCAACTACTAATAACTAGACCAAAGTATCTGATAAGGGCCAACCTCTACTTCTTTTTTTTATCCATTTAAACCCCGTTCACAGCGTAGGGATGCCAACCCCTACTTTATTAAGCAATAAAACAAGTACAACAATTTCAAGGGTCCAATCCTAGTCTCAATAGCATACGTTCAAACTTTGTCTACTAGCGTCCTTACAAAAGGAACGCCTCTAGCATCTAAAGCCATCGTACCTCTAACAGCCGAAGGGAGATTGGAAATATCCTCAAAAACTCTATCTGAATGTAAACAGAGAGAAGCTAATTTATCGGCAGCTAAATTAGCCTCACGAAAAATATGCACCATGAGATCGAAAAATACGACAATAACCTCCTGATTTTCCTTAATACTACACAAAACGGTCATTTGGCTAATTTCTGTGACAAGAGCAAACTAGTAAGCACCAGGGAATCCATCTCAACCTGCAAGGGCCCAACCCTTCTCTCCTTACATACAAGTGGGCCATGCAGCAACAAACAAGCTTCTGCGTACCTACACTGCCATTGAGGTAACAAAGGCTTTAAGGTCTTAGCTAATATGCTTAGAAGCTGTCTTTCCAAAGTCATCTCACCATGTCAATCTGCTTTCATCCCTGGGCATTGTATCACTGATAATATCCTAATTGCTTATGAAATCAATCATTCCCTTAAACTGAAGTCTTGTGGGCAGGAGAGATCTATGTCCGTTAAATTGGACATGAGCAAAGCATTTGATAAGGTCGAATGGCTTTTTCTGCGACATATGATGTTAGCTTTAGGTTTTCATTCCAATTTTGTGGACACTGTTTTCCGATGCATTTCTATTGTGTCTTATACGTTCTTTTTGAATAGGTCCCCACTTGGGAACCTACAACCCCACCGAGGTATCAAACAAGGGGATCCATTATCTCCCTACTTATTCTTGATCTGCGCCGAGGGCTTTTCTTGATTATTGCAGGAAGCCGAGCGTTGCGGAAGCATCTCAGGTTTCCGGATAGGCTCACGTGGACCGACACTATCTCACTTATTTTTTGCAGATGACACCTTATTATTCGGAAAGGCGTCATTGCAGGAAGCTCAGCACATACGGACAATCCTTGACCTTTATAAAGCAGCTTCAGGTCAAGAGGTTAATTTTGATAAATCAGCAGTGGTTTTTAGTAAAAACACAGACCCCACAGTTCGTCGAAGTATCACACAACTCCTTAACATTATGGAGGTTCCCACTCATGACAAATACCTTGGCCTTCCTACCGTTGTTGGTCGTTCTACGTCTGAAGTTTTCTCATCTGTAAAGGAGAGGATCTGGCAGAAGATACATGGATGGAATGAACAACGTCTCTCAAAGGCAGGTAAGGAAATCATGATCAAGGCTATTGTCCAGGCTATTCCAACATACTCAATGTCCTGTTTCAAGTACCCGGACTCCTTGCTTTCCGATATTCAATCTATGATCAGTAACTTTTGGTGGGGTGATGGTGCTAAGCGAAAGCCAATTCATTGGGTAAGTTGGGATAGAATGTGCTTGTCCACAAATGATGGTGGCACGGGCTTCAGACAGCTCAAGGCTTTCAATTTAGCTTTACTGGCTAAACAGGCGTGGCACATCGCAACCCAACCATCTACTTTTCTTCATCGGGTCTTTAAAGCTAAATATTTTCCAACAAAGGACTTTTTTCAAGACGAGTCTACGTCTAGGCCTTCCTTTACTTGGAGGGGTTTGTGCGCTGTTCGCAGATATCTACTCTCTGGTAGCAAATGGCGTGTTGGAAATGGGTTACATATCAAAATTTGGAAAGATAGGTGGATTCCACGCCCTTCTATTTTCAAAATTGTATCACCTTCCGATGCGCTGCCGGAAGACTCCACTGTGGATTGTCTAATTGACAAAGATAGCGGGAAATGAAAATTTGAGTAGCTTCAGGAGCTTTTTTGGCAGGATGAGATTGAGCTGGTTATGGGTATTCCATTGGGAGATAGTCGAAATCAAGATAAGCTCATCTAGCATTACTCTAACAATGGCTCCTTCACAATGAAAAGTGCCTACCACCTTATCAAAACACAATCTACAAACTGGCAAGATGTAGCTTCAGGGAGTAATGGCTCTATGAATGGTACTTGGCCTCGCTTGTGGAAGCTCAACATACCAAGTAAAGTCAAGATATTCCTATGGCGTATTTGCAAAGGTATTCTACCTACATCTTCCACGTTGAATAGCCGTGGCGTCTATCTTGACCCTACCTGCCTTTTATGTAAGGCCCCTGTTGAAGATGTTAATCACCTTTTCCTGTGCTGTCCGGTAGCAATTAAAGCTTGGGCCCTCAGCTTTCTTACGCTAAAGATAAGGTTGGACTCCGCCATTCAAGTTTCAACTTGGTTGCCTGGCCTTCTTCGTCTCTTGAAAAAGCGGGACATGGAATTGGTAGCCATAATTCTTTGGAACCTTTGGCGTAACCGAAATGGTGCTCTATTCGATGGTTCATATCGTGATCCACTCAGTCTAGTCTCCCTCTCTATCAATTACTTGCAGAGGTACCAGAAAGCCACCACATCTCTACACACTCCAATTCACACTGCCACTGCTCAATTTCACTGGAATAAGCCCCCTGCAGGTTTCCTTAAGGCCAACTTCGATGGTGTAGTTTTCTCCGACTATGGCTGCTCCGGTGTTGGAGTTGTTGTGCGGGATGAGTGGGGAAATTTTGTTGCAGGTACCTCTCACAAAATCTTCGGTATCTTTTCCCCTGAGGTCATCGAAGCCTATGCTGCAAAGAATGCAATTTCCTTACTACTTCAGTGGAAGGTGCCCAAGATTATTTTGGAGGGCGACTCTCTGAAGATCATTAACATGATTAAGCTTATGGAATCTGATGACTCAACCTACGGGATGCTATTAGACGATATCCTTTTTAGTTTACAGAATTTCGCCGCATGGGAGGCTAATTGGGTCCCATTTGCCTGCCCACTTATTAGCTAGGAATCACTACAAGAAATTGGTCATCAGTGACAACTTTTCTCTGTGACGAAAAAAAGTTGTCACAAAAGTGGATCCTTTATTGACGACTTTCTAACTCGTCACAAACCTCTAATGGGAGCCAAGATTTAGCAAGAGCAAGATTTAGCAAGAGCGCGGGAGTGTTTAGAACACACAATAGTGACGACATTAAGAACATCATCACTATTGCTTGGCCTATTTACAGACGACTTTTTGTTGTCGTCACTGATCACTAAAAAAAAAAGTTATTAGTGATAACATTTTGTAGTGATGACAATAGGTCGTCACAAAAGGAGCTTCTTTAGTCACGACACCTAAAGTTGTCACAATTGCATCAAAGCAACTAAATGTTTAGTGAGGGCCCGTTATTTTCGTCACAAACTACACTGCAAGAAATATGGTCATTAGTGACAACATTTTTGTCGTCACAAAACGTGGTTGTTTAGTGACGACAAGGAAAGTTGTCATAATTGCTCAAAACAACTAAGTCTTCAGTGACGACCTTGAAAAAGTTGTCACTAAAATGATCTATATAGTGACAACTTCTAATATCGTCACTGTCACTCTACCGATTCGGATTTAGTGACAAGATTTGATCGTCACTGTTTAAAGTACTTATTTCTAAGTCACTTTCATTAATTCTACTGTGCCACCCTAACTTTTGCGATTTAGCCCCAAATGTTGTAAAAAATTCCATTAATTCCATTATGATACCTTAACTTTTACAATTTAGCCCCATATGTAGTACACCGATTTCTTTAATTCTATTATTACTCCCTAACTTTTGTAATTTAGCCCCATATGTACCAATTTCATTAATTCTACTATGGAACTCTAACTTTTGCAATTTAACCCCCATATGTAATACATCAATTTTATTATTTCTATTATGGCAAACTAACTTTTACAATTTAGCCCCTATTTTTTTATTAGAAAATTGCGAATGGTATCTTGATAAACTATGCATAAATATTTTATAATTTTCTCAAACTTAAGTAATAATTTGTTATAAACTCTAAAGATATATCTTTCATTACAATAGTTATAAGGCAGACAGGTTTTTTTATCAATGGAATAAGAAATTTATGCCAGATTTATCCTTTGTACTACATGCCAAGTAGTATTAGCAAAGGAATAACAAAGTACTACAAAGTAATTAACAAAATAGCCTTCAGGGAGTGTAGTTTATGGGCAAATGAGCATTATCTATTCAAAGTACCAACTTTTTATGGGTATTTTATTCTCAAACATATAATTTATGATAAATTTATAAATGTTTGTAAGTAAAATTAAAAAAGTGTTACACTGATTTCTTACAAAACGAAAACTGGCAGGTTATCTTTTCAACATAAATTAAATTTTTTTAAAAAAAGAAATGGCCCATAAAGTACCAACTCTTTGTGGGTTTCCTCCATTACATGAACAAATATTCTGCTCTTTATGGGCATTTCACTCCAAATCATTTAATTTATGTTAAATACATAAATGTTTGTAGTAAAATTCAAAAAGTGTTGCACTAATATTTTTATGAAAGGAAAACTGGTAGGTTTTGTATTTAACATAAATTAAATATGTGAAAGCAAAAAAAAAAAAAGAAATTACCCATAAATCTATGTCTTGCAAATGTATACTAGTAAAATAGTTTCAAACAAAATTAAACATTAAAATAAATTGTAATTTATACACATTAAAATATTTGTAATTTATACACATTTTGCAACTACTACTTTGTGTTTTCTCTGTAATGAATTTTTTAACTATTGAGAACTTAAGTTTTGTCTTGCAAATCTATACTAGTACAATAGTTTTAAACAAAATTAAACATTAAAATAAATGTTTCAAAAAGAACAAAAGTACATTTATCACTTGCAGTAATGTAACAAAATTTTCTCAACCATTATCAATATTTTCATTAAAGTATTAAAAACTAGCAATTGACAATATTAAAAACTAGCAATTTAATTAGTGACGACTTTTCTTGTCATTATAATCTTGAATAAATTAGTGATAACATTATGTCATCACTAAATTTTCTTTGATTTTGACTTAACAATAATGTCTTATTAGCATTTGATTATTTTTAATGAAAGTCGGTTATAACCATAGAATTTGACTTTCGTTATTTTCAATTAATGATGTACTTTAGTGCTGCAATTATAAAAAATTGCAGGGCTAAAATATTTACAAATTATAAAAGTATATTTTCACTTATATGTAATTAACAAATTTTGCCACCTATATTGATGAAAATGTGTGTTTTTGTACTAAAAAATAAAGAATAATACTATAGCAATAAAATCTATGCTTCAAACCAAATTAAAAATAAAAAAAAGCATGATGATTGGTCTCACTACAAGAAATTTGATCATTAGTGACATTGGAGTGTTTGGATACAAAACTTATCCCAAATAATATTTCGCTTGCATCATAAACATATTTTCCAACCACCTTTTTATATTCCCAATCATCTTTTTATCTCACATACATCACATCACAAAAAATGCTACAGGAATTATTCCAAATAATATTTCAAATAATACCCTATCCAAACAATAGGATTCAATATTTCTCAGTGACGAAAAAAAATCGTCACAGAATGGGGTCCTTTAACCACAAGACAGCAAGTTGTCACAATTGAGTCAAGGGAGCCAATACATCAGTGACGACCTTGCATTGTCGTCACAATTCGATTCCCGCTAGGAGTCATAGAGAGAGCGGGAACTGCAATAGTGACGACTTTCTAAAAGTTGTCAATATTAATGGCACTTTCTTTGACAACTTTAAAATAAATGTCACTGATAACATTGTATAGCCGTTAGTGACAACCTAGTCTTGTCACTGTTTGATTTAAAATATTTATTATTTTTTGCAGCTATTACTCCTAATTTTTTGTAATCATTATGTGTTCTCTAATGATTTTTAACTGTTATATACTTATGAGCCTCCTTGTTAATTTAATTTTCTTGTATATGTAATAACTTCATTAGAATAAAAATAATTGAATAAATAAATAATTCATTAGTGTAAATAAACTTGGGACTAGTTAACTTAGAATGATTATCAGTTAATTTGATATGAAAATTTGTGCCCAAGTTTTTTGGATATTGTTTGAGTTATGGGCGAAATCATCTCCACTAGAATTATTTTAGTTGTGAATACCATTACTTCATTTTTTTATTGTGCAAGATAAAGGTTTTCAGCGGAGTTGGTGGTGGAAACGGGTTTGAGAGATTGAGTTTGGGGACGAAGGTGAATGTTTTAATTAGCTATAGTGGTAGGAGTGGATCCCCTTCTTCATCCACCTCTTCCACCTAGATTAACCCATCTAACTCCACTTCCTTCAACCACCAAAACGGTGGTCCTGCTCCCCACCGCATCGCTACCGGAGCAAATAACTCCGACTCGATGCACTCCTGGTAGGAGTCCATATCAAAAGCCCGCACTCGAATCCATCTCCTCTCCACTCTTCTCCCCGAAACCTCCTCAGTTCTCTCGTTCCTTGCCGACTCTGACCGCCCTGCCCGCTCCCTCCTCCTCTCTTCCGCCGCCTATTCTTCCATCTCATCTTCCCTCTCCTCCCCTTCATCCGGCTCCGACGATGACTCTCTTTGCCTGTGGCTATACGACACCTTCCTCTCCGCTGACCCCGAACTCCGCCTCGTTGTCCTCTGCTATATCCCTCTCCTCTCCTCCTTCTATCTATCCCGCATCCACTCCTCCTCTACCACATCCGCTATCTCCCCCACCCCTAATCTCACCGGCTTCAAAGCTATCCTTCTTGTCCTCTACTCATCTGAAGTCAAGGCTCATTCGGGTATACCCGTGCTCATTTCAATCCCTGATCTCTCTCAACCTTCTCTTTATCACTCCTCTCGAAATCCCCCTTCGAATAAATCGAACCCCATTAACAA